AGAGACAGTGTCCAGGGTGTGATGGGTCAGTGATGATTTTCCCTGCGCTTTTCCTGGTTCTTGAAGTCCTGGATGGTGGTCAGGGAGGCACCAGTGATTCGTTCTGCTGTCCTAACTGTCTGCTGAAGTCTGTTCCTGTCCTGTTTGGTTGCTGCTCCAAACCAGACCGTGATGGAGGAGCAAAGGACGGACTCGATGACTGCTGAGTAGAACTGGATCAGCAGTTCCTGTGGCAGATCATACTTCCTCAGTTGTCACAGAAAGTACATGCTCTGCTGTGCCTTTTTGAGGATGGAGGAGATGTTGCTCTGCCACTTCAGATCTTGGGAAATGATAGGGCCTGGTGCCTTCCTGGTTTTCTGTCTCTGGAAGAGCCAGCTCACATCCTCTTCGCATATTCTGAGTGGGGCCTGAATTCCTGGGACCTGAGGGGGATGGTAGTGGGGTTGTGAGGTGTGATGTTTGCCATGAGTGGCTGCCCTTCGTGGACAACTTACTTACAAAGAGCAAGTTGAGGGAGACGTAAAAGACAATTTCCCCATGGGGATTAATGAAGTGATGATGAGTATTATTATTTAACATTTATTAAAATGTTGAATTGTGAAATGCGATTCTTGTTTTTTATTTCCCCTGACTTAAGTAAAACAAGGTACTAATACTAAAGAAAGTGTTTTAACTATTTGCATGGACATTACTGAGTAGAAAACAAAAAAAATAAGGTAGAGCAACTTTATTTGAATGATGAGGTAACTTAATATTTCAATAAATATTGAATTAATATTAAGTAGGTATTACATGACTTGATTAAGGTACACATAGGCTGACATTTGGTGCCCGAGCTGAAACTGTTCTGGGCCAGAACAGGGCCACCAACATGTCTGCATCTGGCTTTGTGCTGGCCCATGTGTGGGCCACCTCTGGCAAACCAGATCTGGGCCAGCAAGGGGCCGTCATTCATTGCGGTATCTGGGCCGGGTGTAAGCGCATAGTGTGGGCCAGATCCGGGCCATACCAATTTTGCTATGTGGGAAGTGCTACTAAAATCTTCAAAACACGTATCAGCGAAGTAGCGCCGACGTACTTGTGCTGACATATGTCATGATGATGTTATTATAATCTGCAGATGCCGCTAAAAGGCTTTGTATCGCGTTACAAATATCCGGACATGCAGCTCCGCCGACATGGCGCGTGGCGTGCCGGTGATATCCAGCGCAGATACGTAGTCGGGATTATTAACAGTCACGCATCTGCTCAGGTAAAGTTGGAGTACTACATGTACAATATAATAATTTATACCTCAAGCGTGTCTGCTGGTGTGTGGCATGAGTAAATGGTGTCCTGTAGTTGTGTTCTGGGCATACAGCAACTGTGGATATAACGGACTTTGGATATAACGGACTGTTTTGCCAGGTCCCTTGAAGTCCGTTATAACTGGATCTTACTGTACAGGAGGTAATTGCAAATAGACACAAGTTATTTAGTAGCGTGACCAGTGGATATAAAGCCCCCAAGAAAGCTGATCCATGGAGAGATATCACCTTCTCTGTGAACGCTGTGTGCCAAATAAATCTAAATGATCTTCATACATGCGTCCCCTTCTCAGAGCACAATTGGCAAGCTCTTCAAGAAGTAACAGAAATGTCATTTTGATAGCAAGGCCAATGCGCAGAAACAGACCTATTTATAATCCGCATGATCGCCGTTACTACCATGAAAATAATTTTTACACTTTAAATTATTTTTTATA